CCACCTCCTTTGAAAACCCGGCGAGAGCTATGCTAATGCGCTGTTTATTTAGCCCCCGCCATGCATAATTCAGAACACAAGTAAAGGAACGCCAGACAATATTGTTAAATATTGATTCAATTAAAGGTGAGGGGGGGGGGGGGCTCTTTAAAGGCGCAGCGCCGGAAGTCGGACCAAGCTGCCGCATCTGCCGTGTGACCCGGGCAGGAAGCTGGCAGAAGACAGTCTGTTAGCGTGAACACGCAATTAGCTCGTAACGCTCACAATTATTATTCTACAATTAAATTTCTTTTTGGCGTAGCTTTTGTATTGCCAGTAGGCTGTGGGATTGTGCTGCCTGTGCACTGCCCCAAAGAGCATCTGCCTTATCGTTATCGCACTTACATCTTCCGAACCTTCAGTTTAACGGTACCAGGGTTAACCTATAAGGAAATATTTTCGTAAACTGAAGTAAGATGAGCAGGGATAGACATGACTGGTACGCATGTATGCATTCACCTTTAGAAACGATACGCGCAACAATCGATTGTTTGTAACAGTGTACATGCGTATTTATTATGTGCATTTGTGCTGATATGACAAGAAAATACCTTTCATTTTGACCTCTATACCGCAAATGAAGTAGTTAGCATATAGAGATTACAATGCATTATTTTGTTTTCATATCAGTGCAAATGCACATAAAATAAATACGCATTTACACTGTTACCACAATCGATTGTCGCAGGTATCATTTTTAAAGGTGAATGCGTACAAGCGTACCAGTCATGTCCATCCCAGATAATAAGCAAAAATACATCAGTACATCCAAAAACTATAACTCCACGAAATATTAGTTAAACAAAACTGGAATAAAAACCACCGTCAAATACTTTCCGCTACCATTTTTAAGTAGTATTTAGCCATATTAATGATTTATCTTAAAGTACCATCAATGGCAGCTGGATCAGATTTTGCCCATTTTGAGGACATAAGGCTGCATGTTCATGGAACACAGCTCCTCAACTTTCAGTCTATGCCTAGAAATAAAATAACTAAAACATAAACTGCAGATAAAACATATGAAAAATAAAAAACTTTAAAAATGAATAAAACAATTGGGCTCCTGCAGTTAACGCTGCTTGGACCCTAATAAACTGGATGTCAAATGAAAATTTTAAATATATAAAAAAAAGCTAAAAGATCCTAAGTATAATAACACTAAACACTAGAAGATTAGAATGAAAGCAGTTTGGATGATTTTACTCTGAGTAGCATTTATGCTGCTGCCTTTGAGTCCAAGAAGACTGGTGTCCAGTTCCCCTCTGTCTCCTTCGGCGTGTTATGGTGGCGAGCGGTTAGGCTTTCATACACATCGTCGTGGTTCTGGTCCCTTTCCAGGATAAGGATGGTGACCGCGCCGTGCACCACGCAGCCTTTGGGGACGAGGGCTCCGTCATCGAGGTCCTGCAGCGGGGAGGCGCCGACCTGAATGCTCGCAACAAGCGGCGTCAGACTCCACTGCACATCGCCGTCAACAAGGGCCACCTGCAGGTGGTCAAGACGTTGCTGGACCTGGGCTGCCACCCGAGCCTCCAGGTGGGTCTCCCTGGATCACCCCAAAGCGTCCCCAACTCCTGGGACAGCTTATCCGTATCTGAGACATGGAGCCGATAAGTGACATCACCTCTGGGGGCTGCTTCTCCATGCCCCCCCGTGGTCTCTTGCCCTCTTTGTGATTGTCCAGATTGTCCTATGTCAGATTGGAGCTCCAGCTTAGGTTATGTCGCTCCATTAAAACAAAACAATAACAACACAGGGTTTTGCCTCAAGGCTTGTTGAGATCTCCAAGTTTTCCCCCTTCTTGAACCAGCTAGATTCGTTTGGTAAGCATACCTGTCACGGCGCGTCGCCATTTGGTTCGTGGGTTGTACCGTTCCTCATTTGATCATTGTTTGGTCCACATCCTTTTGTCTGCCCGACGGCAGCCCTACCGAGTAGAGTCCTGATGTCAAGCTCTTAAGTGTTCTTAAGGTCTTAAATTCAGTTTTCTCCATAATTATTTGGACAATGACACAATTTTCATAATTTTTGCTCTACATCACCGCAACGATTTTGAAGTTAAGCGATCAAAATGAGATTGAGGTGTGGACTTTCACTTTTAATTCAAGGGGTTTAACAAAAAAATCGCATCAGCTGTTTAGGAATTGCAGCCATTATTTATGCATAATCCCTCCCATTCTCAGGGGTTCAAAAGTAATTGGACAAACGAACAATATAACAACTATAATGATAAATTTTAATACTTGGTTGAATCCTTTGCTGTCAATGACGCCCTGAAGTCTGGAATCCATGCACACCACCAAATGCTGGTTTTTCTCCCTAGTTCCGCCTTGCCAGCCCTTAACTCCAGCTGTCTTCAGTTGCTACTTGGTCGTCTTTCTTTCTTCAGTTTTGCCTTCAGCGAGTGGAGTGCATGCTTAATTTAGCTTTGGTCAGGTGACAGATTCTGCCACTAAAGAATGTTAAACTTCTTTGCCATGTACAGCTCTTGGGTTGCTTTCGTTTTCTGTTTTGGGTCGTCGTCGTCGTCCTATCAGTATAGGACGAATCTTTTGCCGAATCTGAGCAGGTAGTCGAGCGTAATACGCTTCGGAATTCATCCTGGTGCTTCTGTCAGCAGTCATATCAATAAACACTAGTGTCCCACCGCCGTTGGCAGCCACACATGCCATGTCTTGTCATAACACTGCCTCTGCCATGTTTTATACATGATGTGGTCTGCTTTGGATCACAAGCTGTTCCTTCCCTCCTTCATATTCTTTTCATATGTGCAATGAATTTCCCTACAGACCTGAGCTAGCATTTCGAGGTGTTTGGCCTTCATATTCTTCAAGCTTCCCAGTGTTTTAGCACTTTGTAGAACGGCTGCCATTAATGACTATTTCCCTATGGATTAATCTGTCGACTATTTTACAGATTGGTCGATTTAATCTGAACGATTCATTTCCCTCCATCAAATCAAATAGACCCTTTTAAGTTAATTTTATTTTGACAACAACAAACTGTACGTTATTGCGGGGCTTCAGATAATGGACGCCGGTTTTTCAGCTCTATTCGGACATAATTTTCGCCCACAATCCGATAAGCAAATTAGTAGTGTGCCTAAAATACTAATGGGATGCATACCATGATGCCCAGCAGTTCGTAATCGGTAAAAATTCTGCGTATCCTTATGCTTGTTAAACTCTGCTAGCGGAACATGCCACATGCTACTTGGTAAATCATGGAAGAGACGAGCACTTAAAGAAGTGTTGATAAAGAAGACAAAAAGATGGTGGTGCTGTTACTTTGTCTGATTAAAGTCCGTTTTTGTTTTGTAAATATAGTTTTCGTTTCAGGTCACGAATTATTTTCTTTTATTTGGTGTCCGTTTTCGTTTCAGTTTGTTTACGATAACACTGGTCCCAACAAGTCCAATGTGCATGAACACACACTGGCACCATCAATCCATGTAGAATAAGCCCAGATTTTAGCCTAAACCTTTTCTCAAACACTTATTTAATGGAGAATCTAAGGTAGCAGGCAGACTTTATGGCTTTAATACTGAGTGTATTTAGCAGCTGCAAGAACAAAAGATATAAAGAAGCTCTCTATGCTAATGGTAATAAACATGATGGACAGCACTTAATGGAGGTTTTGCTTATTCTGGCGGTCCGGAATAGCACCTGTGTTCCCTTCAGGCGCTCGTTCGTAGCACTAGTGCAGCCAAGGTATGCCAGCGACCTTTGCGCAGTGTAAATCCACCTTTTGTTTTGTTAGTTTGAACTATTACCATAATTACGTAGTGATATTAAAGAAGAACTTTTGTTGTAATCAACTGAAGCATTTTAGAAATCATAATGGTAATTTCATTCAAATAATAATAAAAAAATAAAGCTGCGTCGATTTTTAAAATACTGACGTTGACGCATTTTCAGCGTCGACGTCATCGACTACGCCGATTAATCACGGCAGCCCTATTTTGTAGTAAGCCCTCTGTATTTTAATTTACTTTTGTGAAGTCTTCTCTTGACTGTCGACCAGTAAAGTGTGTTCCTTCCTTTTAAGAATGCAACAGCTGCTCTTTCTGGTCTGTTTTTGTTTTGTTTCCTCAGCCTAACAATGGGCTGCTTTACTGGTGTTGACGGTCCTTTGGCCCTCATACTGGGAGTTCACAGCAGCAGCTTCCAAATGCAAATTGAAAGTCCATACTGTTTACCTCTTTAATTGTTAATAAAATTACCAGGGAACAGCTTACACTCGGTCATGAGACAGTCAGTCAATGGTCCAATTTCGTTTGAGACCCTAAAAATGAGTGGATTTTGTATGCAAATGGCTATAACTTCTAAACGACTGATACAATATTTTTGTTAAACCCCTTGAATTAAAAGTGAAAATCTACATTTCAGTCCATATCCGTCTCCTTTCAAATCAACTGTGGTGGTATACAAATTATGAAAATTGTGTCACTGTCCAAAGCTCTAGTATTTCCATCCTATTTCTCATGTTTTGCTGCCATGTTACGTTGATGGTGGTTCAGTAATGAGTGTTAAGGCTGCAGGGGAGGCTGGACTAGAAGAGAATCCCTGGCAGTCCTGTGTGGGCATCATTGTCTTATGACGGGTCTTGGGTTTGGCGCGGTGGCTCTGTGCCACGGTGCTTCCGGATTCGGAGGATGAGCACAGGAGAGCCAGGAAATCCGTTGTCGCATAGCAGTCGTGTTCTGGGAAAGAGCGTCCTCGCCCGTTTGGGCATGTGGCGGGAAGGGGAAGTGGCGGAGGGGTACCCTGGGTTCCTGACTCGCTGCTGCCCCCCTCAGGATTCTGAAGGAGACACACCGCTCCACGACGCCATCAGCAAGAAGAGGGATGACATGCTGTCGGTCTTGCTGGAGGCGGGCGCTGATGTCACCATCACCAACAACAATGGCTTCAATGCGCTGCACCATGCCGCTCTCCGCGGGAACCCCAGGTACCAGCACCTTCTGTGTTTGAGCTTTTGTTTTGCGGTCTGTCTTGGGTGGTCTTGACCCTGCTTAGGCGATTTGGCAAACGGTGTTGAGAGTTTTGAACTATGCTGCACATTTTAACTGTTCAATTATTGGTTCCCCGCTAGTGGAGTGGTCAGTCGATTTGGGGTTGTTACCCGCTGTTGCGTCGGTGTGTGATTAACATGGTCTGGGATTGACTGGGTTGCTCTGATGTGTACCTAAATCAATGGGTTTGAGCAGAGGAATCGGTCCAAGGTGAACTGGAGTCACAAATGCGTTGTTGCTCTCTGGCTGCCTGCAGTGGAAGTTGGGAGCTGTCTCAAGGCCTCAGTTAAAAACAACCTGATTATCCTCTGATAATCAGATTTTTAATACCCACTGTCTTGTCTGTTTTGTTTCTGGAAAGATGATGGGGGCATGGCCTGTGAGCTGATGGGGGAGCCCACATAACATGAGCTTGGGATGGTTCTAAACTGTCAATTAGCTTCACTCGTGATTCAACTTCTCACTGGAGAATTTGAGGGTTTTCCAAGGTCTCGTTGCTGCAAACGCTCAATCTGTTACCCACACGCATATGTGCTGTTCTGGGCAGTGGAGTCAGATCTGGTGTCCTTGATAGCAGTTATTTTTGGCGCATCTTCAGATGGATTAATCGGGTCTGCCAGGCCCGGGCAAACGCTTGGGATGATGATGATTGCTGATCACGTGATTATCTGAGTTTACATTGCTCGTTTTTATTTGAGCCCTGCATTACGCGAGTGATCTGCGCTATGCGGCGCTATGCAGGCCGACATGGGTCACTGGTCTTGTGGTTCCGGGTTCCCTTGGCTGCAGGAAAGCAGAATCGGCGCCGCGGTTCTGTCTGTCACCGGGGCTTCAGTGCGGAAAGGGTTAACTAGTACGCCGAGGTGAACGGTGCTCCCCGTATGACAGCTGCAGGCTGTGCCGCTAATCTGGATGTTTCTGCTCCGATGTGGTCTTTCTATGGCCACGGAAGCCATTGCTTGGAAAACACTGTCAGGTTTGCAGTGTCTGCAGTCTCCGTGGGTCTGATGGCTCCATGCAGTGCTGGGCTTTGGCAGTGCTGACCTCTGAATCACTGCTGTTATATCACCATTCATAAGCTCCCCATGCCCCGCAGTCTCCAGCAATATCCCTCCCGCCCTGTCTCGGTTCTGTCTTGTTACCCGGGTAAGGTCCTCCTTCCCGCTCAGTGTGGAGGTGTCAGTCCTCGGCGTTGCAGCGGTGCCACCCCCTCATCATGCACAAACAAAACCCCCTCGTCATCTCCGCAGGAATGCTGGGAGAGGTATTAACCTGGCCTGAGTTTGCCTCGTGCTGATTGGATGAGAGAGTAGATCTCTGGGTATGAGAGCCTGTAGATCTGCAGGGGTGGGGAATAGCTTTTGCTCTTGGTATAGGGCCTTCTATAAGCTGCAGACTCTAACCTTTAAACTACAGATCTGGCTGGTCATGTCTTGGTCAGTCGCTGGATTTACTGTAACCCCTGCCTGGGTGGCTGGTTGTGTATTAGTCAGTTGTTGGTTTTGCTCTGACCCCTGCCTGTGTAGCAGTCTGTTCTGTCCTCGGGCGGATGGCGTTAATTGGGGCTGATGTGGAGATGAATGTCTGTCTGCAGCTCAGCCGGTCACCTCACTGTCTCTCCGTGCTGCGTGAGCCAGGCGCAGTGACTGTAGCCTCGCCCCCGGTATATATGAGTGAGGAATGAGTGGCCTCTGGTCAGGGTAGCAGGGCGCTAATTGCTTCTAGTGAGCTTTTCACGCTGCTCCCAGCTGAAGAGCATGCTGGGAATGTGAGCCCGCCCTGTAACATCCACTAAGGGAAAGGAGTGACTATTGGGCTTTGTAAGCGCAAATGAAATCAAATCTGTACCATCTGGTAGTTTGCCGGGTGTTGTTCCACGTGGCATCTAGCGCCATCCAAGACCCGAGGCAGCACGCTGTTGCTGTGGGCCGGTCGAGCATGCGTGTAGGAGAGCGTCACACGGACCGAGTACCTCCTGGATCTGCTCATCCACTTAGGCACTCCCCCCTACCTCTCCACAGCCCGTAGACATCCCGTTTCACTGTACAGTTTGGTTGCTCAACTGCTTGCTTTTGATCTTGAATATTAAGTGTCAAAATATGTAAAGGAATAAACTCTGTGCAAGTCAAGGAGCTTAGCCTGTGTGTGTGTGTGTGTGTGTGTGTGTGTGTGTGGGGTCGCAGGATCGACTTCCGGGTTAGCAGCCATGTGACTAAGCTCCGGCCTGTCCTCTGAACATGGCCCAACTGGACTGTGTGCAGACTTCTGCTGCCCCTTGGTTGGGGGAAGTATCTCCGTAGAGATTGTCACCTCATGCTGTCCCGTGCTGCCGTCTGTGCGTGACGCCGAGTCACGGCGCCGCCGCCCAGGTCCAGGTGTGCGGCCTGCGACCCGCTTAATGCGGCCGCCGCCTCTGCAGCATGATTGCTGCTGCCTGTACTGACTGGGCTGCTGCAGCTTTCCCATGTACCTCGGCGGGACTCTTCCAGCACACAGCTAAGAAATCAGCCGCTGTAATCTGATGACTCGCTTGGAGTTCTGCTAACATCACACCCCCCCCCCCCCC